CACTTGCACCACTCTGAATTAGCTCACGAGTCTGTTATGATTGCTCAAACCACAGTCCCAAGGGACTTTTGAACCCACTGTTGAGTCGACATGCTATATTCACGGAAACAATGTTTCCTGTGGCACATAGTTATTGAATGCCGGCAAGAAAAAGCAAAGTACAAGCTAGCCTATGCCTGACTGCTGTATTTTGATGGTTCTAAATCCTGTGTTCGGCGGTTGGGGGAGATGTGCTGAAGGCACATCTGTTTGCTTCATATGCATTCAGTAGAAACCAAATATTCTGTGGGGAAGAAATAGATCTAGCAACTTGGAGCCATTTTACTTGCACCTGCATTGTGGCTGTTGGGGCCCTTGCAGCTTCTCCACTAAGGGCAAGCTTGCTGTTCTCTCCCACTTAAAAAAAATAATCCCAGTTGAGTGTTGGGGGTAAAGGTAAAGGGACCCCTGACCATTAGGTCCAGTCGTGACCGACTCTGGGGTTGCGCGCTCATCTCGCTCTATAGGCCGAGGGAGCCGGCGTTTGTCCACAGACAGCTTCCAGGTCATGTGGCCAGCATGACTAATCCGCTTCTGGCGAACCAGAGCAGCGCACGGAAACGCCGTTTACCTTCCCGCCGGAGCGGTACCTATTTATCTACTTGCACTTGGGGTTGCACTCCCTCAAAGCTGAGTATGTTGCGCTTGAACACACACACACACACACACACACACACACACACATTTTTTGGCTGACACTGCCCCCCTTCAGTGCGAGAGTAGTTTCCAACTCAAGTTATTCTCTGTTTCAATAGGGGATTTTTTTATTTTTCATACCTTCCTTTTAAAGGCCATTGAAGACCAGTTTTTTCTCTCTATATCGATCTGTTCCTTTTCTTTTCTTACCACTGTTCCCTAGAGGAGTCAGGTGCCATAGAAACTTGCTTTGGCTAAGTTGGCAAATGCACTGATGCTAGTGCTAACAAGGCTCCAGGGGCCACGAAACTCCATCCGCCCTGCATCTGATAGCGCAAGGAAATGGAGATAGCAGAGGACGGTCTACAAGTAGTGGAGCATCTCAGGTAAGCGAGAAGAACAAATGGGCAGGCGATGGGTGTATGTGAAGTCATTAGAATTTCTCCATCAGATTTAGGAAGGCAAACTAGTTCTGGTGTGCCTTTTCCCACTTATAAAGTACATCACACACCCAAAGGGAAGGAAATGGCAAAGACTATAGGTAGCTGTAGGAAAATGCTTTATCTTTCAAGGGAAGGGACTATAGCTCAGTGGTAAAGTATGTGCTTTGCATGCCAAAGGCCCAAATGGCATCTCCATTTGAATGATGCTTCTCTGCTGGGAAGCTGCTGCCTGCCAGAACGGGTAATGCAGGCTAGATGGACAAATAGTTTCTCATCTATAAGGCAATTTCCTCAATTCCTACAGATGAATATGGTGCTGATGTCAAGGTTGCAGATGAGATGGTGGAAATGTGATGTCACACTTACATATTTGCTCCATTAGCACCATTAGGTGCTTGGTGCTACTAGGTACAGTTTCTTGATTTCCCTTCTTTTCACATTACCTCTCATATTTACCTGTTCTGTATCACGTCTACAGGTAAAAAACATGTCTGCTGTCTGTTTGCAGGCTTTCCTCACAAACTTCCTCTAGCAATTACCTGTTCTTTATAATGCAAAAATTACATGCTCACACAAATATGTTTCAGTTATCTTAAAAGTGCAAAATCTTATCAGGAGTGATTATAATAATAGCAATGTTTTCTCAAACACAACATAAAAAGATTCTTGGACAGCACTATTACTGCATTTAGCAGATGTTAGAAAGCTATCAGTAAAAAACAAATTTTTTACATTGACTTCTTACACAATACAGGCATGAAAAATGTGTTCAGGGGTGTATCTTGACTAATATGATATACTTTTGACTAAGAGTATTTATATAGACAGAAAAGAGAGTTAAACTTTTTACTAAGATGATGATTATGATTTTTATACCCTGCTCATCTGGCTGGATTTTGTTAGCCACTTGAGTCTTTTGCAAAGACAAAAATGTAGAATACAGTATAAACATTTTCATAAATAAATGCAGATTGTGTGGTGTTTTGATTTGTTTTATAGACAGTTCCTGTGCATGCATCCATTTTCAACCAGGTAAGATCCTGAAAAAGTATTTCATTAGCTGGTTAAGTGATCCAAGATCTAATGGATCAATTCCCTGTAGGAATTTAAATTACCGGGAGAATTTTGACATCCCAGAATGTTCTGGATTGGACCTGGGGTTTAGCTACTCCCTGGGATATAACTGGCCAACCTTTTGGGACCAATGAGCACATTTGGAATATTGAGAAAATGCCATGGGTGCCAGTCGCAAAATAGCTGTGGCGTAATGCAAAATGGCTGCCACATCCAAAAGAGCAGTAAAAGTAAAAGAATGGTGCAGGCATCTCCCCAACTTTACCAGCTGCCTCATCAGTTGGGGGTGGGGGAGAGCACATACATGAGCTTCTTTTGATGTCTCCTCTGCTCAAAACAGATGGGACTGTGGGTATCAAATCCTAGCTTAAGGTGGGTGAGTACATAAACACCTTTATTTTATTTTTTACACAGTGCCAGCTCAATGTTTTGAAAATATAAGATGTTACAGAGCTGTGGTATATTTAAATTTAAATTTCATTCAACATACTTTAAAAATCCCACTCTTATGCGGCCCTGGTTTACCAATGCCCCGCCCATGGGCACCAGTGCCCCCACCAAGCCCTACTGCAGTGCCTACTTCAATTCTCTTTGGCGTATGTCTCTTTGGCTAAGCCTAGAGTGGGCCTGAGCACGCCCATTTGCAATACTCAGTTTTGATTGGATGCTGGGAATAATGGGTCGTGGCTGTGATTGGATGCCTCCCCTCTTTTCTCGATGCAACAGAGACTTCACTTGGAGAAGAGGCACCACTAGGCTTTGGTGAGCAAGCCATGGTGACCGTGGTACATAGAGGTTTGAGGGGACGATGTCAGAATTTGTGAGGCCCATGGGCCTCATGGCAGCAGCTGCAGTACTGAGCACTTGCCCAAAGTGTTGTTTTGGGCCTGGCTGAAGGGACTTAAAAAAAAAAAACCTGAAGAAGAGGGTTTAGTTCTTTGTTTACACTTGAGGCAGTGCTAGGGGAGAGGGGCGACCCCCTTCGCTTTGCTGCCTTCACAGAAGCTGCTTCTCCTGTTCCAGAGTGGACAGTTGTTTGTTCACATTTTAGAAAGGGGGTGCTGGAGATGGCAGGGTGGATTCCCACCCACTGGCTTGCCTCCAGATAGCCTGAGTGCTTGCTTGCCCCCCAATGGTCACTTTTTCTTTCAAAGGGTTGCTGGAATCTCTGGGGCATGCCTCACTTAGGACTGTTAGAAGTTGCCTTGTACCGGCTCCAGCCATAGGTATATTTGGCCCAGTATTGTCTACTTTGCTGTTTGGCTGTGGTTTCGCACTGAGGACATTCCCATCCTTTACCTGGAGATGCCAGGGAATGAACCCAAGACCTTCTGCACTCAAAGTAGATGCCTTCCATTGAGCTATGGCCCTTCCCCATTGGTTTGCCCTTCTTCCCTGTGAAAGTGGTATGTTACTGGCTTCAGGATTTCTCCTTCATTTTTACCAGTTGACCAGGGTGTGTGTGTGTGTGTGTGTGTGTGTGTGTGTGTGTGTAGAATGAAGGCAGCCCTGTGCCCCCTCTGCCCTGAACTTACCTGAAATCTATTCATGCAGTATAGCTTCACATGAAACCTTCTCTTTCACAAGCATGATCTTTACACAAGATATGCCCCAAAGCAGCATCAGGCACAGAACACATCTGTCTCAATGAACTTTAAAAAAATAAAAATTACAGATACAGTACATTGCTCTTTAGCGCCAACCCAAATCTGTGGTGTGGAGCCATATGGATTTTCGTGATCTTTACAAGGACACCCCCCCCCAAGCAAAACCTATAGACATCAAATTTGTAGGTGTGGACTCAGATTTGATTGTGGTTTGGAGCAGATGAGAAAATAATAAGAATTGACAAATCTGTGGCATGGGATGCGCTGGATCTCTGATTTCAGTCCATTGCGACAAATGTGATCTGTGATTTGACAGTGCTTTTATACTTGAACATCAAGTATAAAAACCATGCCAAAGTACTTCAGTCTCCCTAGTGTCTAGGTAATTCAGTACAAACTCACTTTTTTTGGTGGTGAAGGAGGTTTCTGGAATATGCTTGGCTGTTTACATACCCATGTTACAAACATTTTAAATTAGTCTTCTCTGCACCATTTTTTGGTTGTGTCTCTTCTCCTGCTCTTTTAGATGTGACAGACCTTTTGTGATGTGTCATGCCCAACAATAGCCACTTTGTGATATGCCACATGCTGCATGGCAGCTATTTTGCAACTGCCACCCACATCCCTTTATCAAAATTATAAATGTGTCCTGAAGTTCAAAAAAGTTGGCAACCCCTGGGTGTTCACCCTCCCAGGGTGACAACAAAACAACAGCAGAAGGTATTAGAAATATATTAAACAATAAGATGAAGCGACAACAACATTAAGTAACATTAAAAACAACACCAGAAGATAAACTTGTTATTAAAATGCAGTGCCATAAAATCACCCAAAAGCTCACTGGATTTTTTAAATGGTTTTTCTCAAAGCCAGCAAAGTCCTAAAGAGGATATGTCAAACACAGGATGCTGTGAAAAGATTGTGCAAGTGTTTTCACAGATGCCACCACAGAAAAGGCCCTGTCCCTGATAACTATTCAGTTAATTTATATACAGTTATGATGTTCTGAAATGAAACATCAAGATCTATAGGGCTATACTGATCTGAAGTAACACTATATATTTCTAAACAAAAAATTCAGCAAGCTCCATGGGGATGACCCAGACTGTCCAGGAGGCTCTTGTCCTGAGATAGAGCAACGGTTTCGTTGAGGCCTGTCTTGCTGCCTACGTTGTCTAATTATGTTTCTCTCTCAGCATATCGCATCCCAGACCATCACTGCAACATCGTATCATCAAAGTGGGAACATGTCTGCCCAGGTAGGGAGTTTTTCATATGAGAGGTTACTGATGAACTTGGGATATATTTTGAGAAAATGCTTACAATTGGTCTCAGTGGCCTTTTGGGGAGCATAAAGCATAAGCCTTGAGAAGCCCATTCCTGGCCACCTGTGTGACAATCACCAGAGAATCCAAATGGCTGAGAAAGCCGATCGGTTTGGAAAGAAACTGGCAAGTATGGGGAGGAGGGCAGAGGGTAAGGAAACCAACTTATCCCTCATACATTTCGCCATCTGATCCTTTGACTTGGACATTTTTGTAGGTGGTGAAGAAGAAGAGTCTTGGAAGTGTTAAGCGTCCACGGAAGTTCTTCCTGTGCTCTCTCAGGGCTCTGTCCATGCCTGGCCGCCAGTACCAAGCCTTGCCTAGTGTCTTTCTTGGTGACTATGATGCCAGCACCCGCTACACCAGCACCAAGAATACCAAGATGCCTCATTCAGTGAGTGAGTGACATGACCCGTCCCCCAAGTCTCTCCTCTGTCCTTCATCAGGCTACCCTGTTTGTTGGCATTTGCCATCAGGGTCAATTTCTACTCTCCTTACCTTACTAGTCATGTGCACCCTATTCCGGACCTTCTGCCAACATTTGCTGGGCAAGTTGCCTAGAGTAACAATATGGCTCTGCTTTAATCTGGAGGCAGAAGTTAGGGCCACAGTTGCTCTTGCAAAGCTGTACAAATCCCTTGGCATCCCTGTGTCTCAAAAGATCCACTTGCCACCTGTTGAACTCAACAGCTGGCCAACTGCACCAGCTGGACCAGGTCAACCTTTGACACTCAGCTGCTCTTCCTCATACTGCAGATGTATTTAGGCTCAGTGGACTGGGCCTGCCTGTGTACCTGCTTTCTCCACCAACCCTCATCTGTAAATAGTTCATGACTAACAACTTTCCCAGCCCTTTCCCCCATATACTTCTTTGCTACGAAAGCCCACCTTTTCCCTTAAGAATCTTACAGCTGCTGCAGATAGTTGTTGACAATCCCCATCCACCATCAACCTTCCAACTTTAACTTCTTTACAAGAAAAGGCTTCCCACAATTTAAACACTTATATGCTTCATGCAGCAAGCACATCCAGAAGATAAAGCTTCTTGGCCACAACTCATATATTTCAGCTTTTATTCCATGGGCCAGAAATAAGGGCATGCAGCAGTGCTCACCAAATCTACTACCTGGTTCAATTTTATCCCCGTGTCCCACTATGAGAAAGGAAAGTATAAAGACAGGATCGAAAGATCCTGCTTACCTAAGAGAACATTGGCTGTTTCCTATTACCCTTTTACTTCTATAGGGGTGTGGCAGAATACTGTCAGAACAATTCCCTCATTGTGGGGCTAAATGTATGAGTGAGCTAAGAGCGCAAGAAAGGAAATTCCATGCTCAGATAACTGTTAATGAAGTAACGAATTAGAGATTAATTCACTTTATTGCTACCTACTTAGTACAGGCCAGTGACTTTCTTCCTGTCACTATTGTGCCAAGTATTTATTAGTGCAGGACTCGGCAATGGCCTTTTATATCTCTAGGAAAAGTGTTCACACATATGTGTAGCAGTGCATTCTTGACTGAGCCAAGTCTTACCTCCCACATCACCCCAGAGGGCTGTGAGTCAGCTTGAGCCAGAATTCACAGTGGCTGGCCAAGCACTAAGGCCTGTAGCTGACTCAGCTACCAGGCCCCGAAATGAGTAGTGTCGTATCATTTCAAAGGTGTAGTATGTCTGACTTGAAAGTGGACTTCACGAGAAGTCGGATCATGGCTTGATTAGGGCAAGGGAAACAAGGACTGTGCTAGCAGCCTGGATGACGCCAGATCAAAACAAATGTAGTGGCGAGAAGGAAAGGCATGTGCTTTCCTCAGTTTCCTTGTGGTGCAACACATGTGCATGTACACACATGGGAACACATAAGCACACACACACTCACTAACAAAGTGTGTGTTGGCTCTTTTGAGACAATTATCCAGGATAATCTTTATGCAGATTACGGGGATCCGATGGAGGGAGCAGATTGGACGCCTGTGTTTATTAAAATATGGATTTTGATCTCCTGTGTGGAGAGAGTGAGGCTGTGCGGGGGAGAGGGTGGCACTGAGCCGGCGAGGGGGTGCTTACTGCTGTAGTTCTGTATAAATCACTAAGAGCAGCGGGCATCAGGACTGTCAGAGTGGCCAGAGGGCAGGGAAAGTGCACAGCGCCGACAGGTCCTATACCACCAACTCAAGGGGATAAACAGCTTTTTCGCTGGGGGAAGGAACCTATTTTGAGCAGTACTTACAGGAGGGGTGTTTCACAATGACAACAGTAGAAGCCAAAACTGAAGAGGAGGAGAAAAAGGAGCCAGATTCAGCACCAGCTCCAGCTCCAGAGGCATTGCCAGAGGCAGCACCAGAGGCAGCGCCAGCATCCAACCCATCAAGCGGGGTAAGGTTGGCCTGGACATGGTGTGACGGGCTGCAAATAGAGGTCTTCATCCAGTTTTTCCACTGCTGTGGGACTTAGAATGTCTGTGGCAGCCATTGAGTTTGGGCTCAGGGGTGGGGAAACGGGCTGGGGGAGTGGCATTTATCCAAAAATAGGGTTGGCTGATAGAAGTGAAAGGAGCAGGAGTCATTTATGGACAGGTTGGACCCACAATTAATTGGATACCTTTTGAAAAGAAAATGCGTCACACATTCTGTTCTGGTAGCATTCCGACATGTCCATTTCTGATGGCTCTCTCCCACTCCTTTCATTTGGTTACTCAATAACCCTTTCCTTCAGCGACTTCACTTTATGGATTGGTATATTTCTGACCGCATTTAAATGTGAGAACTAATGATATAAAGTTGATATAATTGAAAGACACTAGAATATGAACAGGTTGTTTTTCCCCCAGCTAATTGGCGAGTGCATGTGCAAACACAAAATCCTTTTATCAACTTTAAAAGTTAAAGGAAAATGCTGTCAAAGTGATACCCAGCTTGATGGGGTAGCAGTTCTGCACAACGAGGTCTAGATTCTTTGGTTCTTGGGACCTTTCTAGTCATATGGTACTTCACAGGCTAAAGCAGTAGTGGGAAACCTGTGGCCCTCCAGCTCTTGCTGAACTACAGCTCTCATGCTGTCTGGGGATGATGGGAGTTGGAGTCCAACATCTGGAGGGCTGTAAGTTCCCCACCCCTGGTTCAAAGCAAGGCCATATTCTGAGATACAGGAACACAAGAAGCACCAATTCAACAGGAAAACATCTTGTGGAAACTAGGGATTCTGAACAAGATTAAAGGGTTATAGTAGAAACACGAATTATACTTTTGAACATCTAGGGCAACATGGTAGCAAGACAGAGGACATATGCAATATTTGGTTGGGTAAGGAACATGGCACTTTGAGGTTCCTGAGAATAATATTCTGACCATTCTTTGACCCTTCATTTTGAAGGATGTTGAAAATTCAAGAGTGTTGAAAAAAGCAGCTGTGGTTTTTAGATTAAAACATAAATGGGCCTGTTTTAAGAAATTAAGCATAAATAAGTATTATAGTATTAATGGAAAATAAGGTTAAAATATGTTAAGATAATCATATGACAGAAAATAGAGAAAGATGGAAAGGATTTGCTGAAATAATTAATAGAAATGGAATACAAAAAGGGAGGTGAGAGGAGGTCGATGAAACAAGGGAATGAAAGAGAGGATATTGAGATGGTATGATGTGTGTTTTTTGAATTGTTTTTGCTTTCGTTTTGTTTAGTGTGTTAATGTTGTGTTGTGTATTGTTTATATATTGTATTGTATTGTTTTTTCTTTTTCTTTTTCTTCTTTTTTCTTCTTTTCCCCCCTCCTTTTTGTAAGGTTTAAAAGTAATAAATGTTATTTAAAAAAAACACAACCATAAATGGGCCTGATAGTAAGGAGCTGAATGAAGAGTCTTTGCTAAGAGTGGTTGGGGGGAAAATATACGAGGCAGACTGTTTAGGGAAGAGATGTCAGTCCCTGTCAGTGGTTACTTGAGCCTTGAAGTCTGAGATTGGGGGGGGGGGAGCCTAGCTGGGCCACATTTATTCATTTGAATCACACTGCCAGACGTAGTGACTAACCTCACATATAAATAAGCATATCTTTGTAGCCAAATGCCCCCATTAAGTTTAATTTTTCAGTTAGTGCAGCAGGAGGACCAGACCACACAGTTAGAAAGGAGATTAATGCCTTAATTCTGAACACTTGCTGGCTTCGCTCCAGTGCTGACTGATAGTCCTCCCTCTCCCTCCATGTCTATCACTTCCTCTACAGTTTGGCCTCAATCCCCTTTGTATCAGCTTAACCCTGCCAATTCTTAGTTGCTGATTTCCAATAGGGTGCTCTGTTCTCTTTGCCCTCTCATGTCTGGTTTCTAAGGTACCCTTGGTGTTTTTTGTAACCCAAGCATACCTCTGGTTTCCTAATGCGCTAGGGTTGGGTGTCTTTCTTTCAAAGCTAGTGTACAGATCAAGCACCAGCAACAGGGTGGGCTAGAGGAGTTGCCTTCCAACTCTATGATTCTATGTGTACTGCTTCCAGTTTCACCAATCTGACCCCTGCCACCTGACCCCTAGGGCTAAGATGTTATTGACTACTCCCCCCCCCCCAATTTTCATCTTTGTGTATTGTGTATTCATCTTCCACAATCACCACTCCCTCCCTCCAATATACCGTGACCTTGTTATGATACCTGAGGCCTTCCTGCCCTAAGCAACTCCCCTGTTGCATCCAAACACTGTTCCATTTTTTGTTCTTCCTTAATGTTGTAGTTGGAGCTTTATCCTTCCTCACTTTTCCCTAGTCAATGCTAGAAAATTATCGGAGGAAGTGAAGCCAGGAGCTAGAAAGGTGCCAGGACACCTCAGCTTGACATTGATTCATTTATTATCCCTTCACATTTCTGTGTTGAGTAAATGGCCACCTTTGTTATGGCTTCCCCCCTCAAATGATAGCTTATAGATTTGGAAGAAAACATCCTTTACTCTATATGGTGGAGAAGGGCAAGCTAATAATAATAATAATAATAATAATAATAATAATAATTTATTTGTTTCCTGCCCATCTGACTAGGTTTCCCCAGCCACTCCAGCATATATAAAAACATAATAAAACCTTACTTCTAGTAATACCATCCCTTCTCCAGTATAGCTGATGCCTGCATAGTTGGTAAACAAATAGACAATCACATGGACAACTTTGCAAAGCTACTTCTTCGTTCTGTCTGCTCACCAAAATGAGTAACCCTCCTTGACACAGAAAAGGCCTACTGTACCTCTTGGACTGGAGCACAATGACTCTGAATCTTATAAAAAGTATTGGCTTATCTTTGCCTTGAGAACCTCTTGACCCACTTAACTGTGAAATGGTAAATAATGCTTCCGCAGCTGTACAATGCAGTCAGATATTGGTTGAATTGTTTTGTGAAATTGTGGGAGGATGTGGTGAA